AAGACGGACCTTGAGACAACAGTAAGACTAACAATAAGTAATTTACTTAGTGATAACCAATCCGGCCCGGGGACCAAACATGGCGAATCGCCGAAATTAGTCTGCCAGACCACACAGCGAGGATAAGCTGATCACCATGTCACTTATTTACCTCTCTTCCTTTGTTTATCTTCTTAATCCTTTCTTTATTATAAATTCAATAACATGGACGTCCATAGTGAAATTATGCATTTAAAAAGGGAGACTAATGACCTGGGACCGCTGATTTTAATGAAACATTTTAGATGTGTGGGATCTTTTCTCTTTATCTTCGTATAGAGTTTAAGGAGTTTGTGCGGGATGAGACCTGTTCGATTAGGAGTAAACTGGGAGGACTTTGTGGAATTTGGTCAAGATTGTGACATATACAAAGCGTCATTGTGAATTGTTTCATTGGATCCATAGAATGCTCGAATTCGTTGAATGCTGGATCGTAAGCCGAAGCCGAATAGTTCAAGACAAAGTAGGCATCGTATCAGTTATTGTCTTTTGAGATGTATGAGAGAGGGAACTCCACGTTAGTCTCTCGTCTAGGTACACCCCTAGATATCTACGTGGTTTGTGATATTATTGGATTAGATTGAAAGGGCAACTTTTTTTCCAGAAGGCGAAGGCAATATTATAGAAATATGTGGTGATTAGTGACCGTTAGTCGATGATTATTCGGAAATCGTGAGATGCGGTCTGGTGTGACGTAGGTTTTAGAAAAACATTTTCTTTATCGTGCCAACGTTTCGATCTTTACTGAGATCATCTTCAGGGCTCAATCTGTCACACGTGACAACACGAAAACTGTTGTATCTTGGTTATAAGGTTCTGCCACACCCTTCCTATTTTCCAGACCACTCGCCTACCGACGACCATTTTTTCAGACGCCTGAACAAAAAATTTATATATCAAAAGATGTTAGAAATGCCCACTCTCAACACGACACGCAAGAATGGCAAAATTACACAGAAAACAAACACTTTGAGCCCTGAAGATGATCTCAATAAAGATCGAAACGTTGGCACGATAAAGAAAATGTTTTTCTGGAACCTGGCACCAGACCGCATCTCACGATTTCCGAATAATTATAGAAATGCGGATTCCTCTGTGTGGATTCCGATCTTATCTTTGTATTATTGCAGGTTATGGGAGAAATTGACAGGGCCTGTATGAAATGAGAAGATTTCTGTGTCATTAGCAAATATAATAATAGAAGCGTCATAATGTATAGAGACGTCAGCTGTATATATAAAGGGTGGGAGTTGAACGCCACTTTGAAGGACTACAGATTTTTCTGGATGGTATCAGAAAATATTATCGAAATAATTAAGGAATTAAGTTATATGTAAAAAGGTGTTTTTGAGCAACGACAACAAGCCGGGGTGCTAGGCGTGGTACGCGGATGATGGATTGTTTCCAGGACACTATTGACTATTGCTTTTTTCCGACATGTTTGAGAATGTTAGATGTAATGAGATGGGCTTTCCTGGTTTTGTGGTGTAGGTTCAGAATCCGAAGGGGAGAAAGCAAGGTGATAGTGATAACATAAGGGGAGAGATTAAACGTTCATTGATCTATTGGGTTGAATTGTACCATGCTGAAGATGAATTTATTGTATTGGTATTCTGTTATAACCTAGAGATCGACTGACTAGAACAAAAATGATGTTTTACATTTTATTGGCGTACCCGTACTTGTAAAACGAGGTTTAAGTAAATACATTAAACATTGGGCAGTATTGTCGAGGTAATAAAGTTCTTAAGAACTTGATTTGAGGTAAGTGTTCATTAAGAAATTAAATTTATCGTATAATTTATGCTGATTTAGATAGTTTTTTAAAAGCTTTTATCGCCTTGTTGAGTAATTTGTAATTTTTTCTTTATAGATGTACCAATTTTTATTAAGACCTCCCAGGAAGGTTTTGACATAGTGGTACTGTAAATAATTTACCCCTTTTGTTTTTTAATCACATCGTTTGAATTGTATAATTAAACCCTTGGAAAGAATGACTTTCCATTCTTACTAGTTCGTACAGGTAGAGATTTTTTTAGGCCTTTCGTGCCCTAAGGGAAAAAAAGTAAACCGTCTCGATTTTGAATACAAGGGTGTGTTGCGCCTTTCTGATTGTATTAACAAGGTCGAAAGAGGAGTTCGGGGCTGTGACACACGGGAAAGAGTTCTGTTTCGAAAGAGCACCGTGATGATTCTCAACCTATTGAAAGATTAAAAACGGACGGGAATATTTGGCATTCCTATCGACCCGCTGCGTCGTCTTAAGCTATTTGAGTTCAAACCTATAAAAACCGGGGGTTTCGTGAGATTCTTCAATCTAGATTAGAAGGGAATCTTTATTACGAAAGGTCGCATGATAGTAAAATCAAACTGAGCCCGTTAAGCGCAGAGTCGGGGAAACCTTTTAAATGTTTCTACCTCACGTATTTCTTCTCAGACGAAGCCGGGTTTCTTAAGTACATTACTTATACAATTATACCAATCTATAGAT